TGTTTATTAATTAATTAATTAAATATTTTTATTTGTATTAACTTTTATTACTGGTTATTTTCAATACTGTTATTACAAATAATAATTCTATTAATTTATTTGTTTACTTGTTTGGATAAGAGTGTCTTAGTAGTACTATCTGTGTGCTACACTACTGTCCATTAAATTAGATTTTAATTCTTATTTATTTCTTTAATAATGATGATAATAATAATAATTATTATTTTTATTATTTGTATGAACTATTATTATTTTTATTTACCTATTATTTATAATGTCTTTTTATTTCATTATTATTATTTTAATTATTATGTAATTTTAATGAACTGTTGTGTTTTTATTGCTATTATTCAAAATTATAATTTTATTTATTTACTTATATAATAATCACTTTTTTTTTAAGAGCTTGTTTTCTGTTCATGTTACTACTCCTTATTCTGAGAGACAATGTTCTTTCCTTCTGTCTCAAGTGATTGTTCATGGATGGGTAGACTGCTCAGGTACAATGGAAGGTGATAATTTGAAGGTGCTAAACAGCTACAGCAGGGATGATAATTTTCCAGCCCAGGTTTCACAGGTGACAGAAGGTTGATTATAGGAGGTGAAGACCTTGAGAGTCTGTGCTGTCACCTGTGTGAATTGCTGTCAGTGAGACGCTCACACAAAGACACATATGCAAACTCATGCCACTGTATGTCTCACACTCTTGTTCTCACTCTCTGTGGGACACCAGTTCATGTGTGTGCAATCTCTACAGTCATGTTTAATATTAATGAGTGAGATTATTATATTCATTTTATGTTTAACATTGTGCTGTTGTTTGGAGATAAGTATCAGTGGCTTCTATGTTGCGTAATTGAACGCTCACCAGCCTTTACGGCTGCAGCAGCAGCTGCTGTTGTTAAAAAAAAATGCTGAACGTAAATCATCAGTATTCAGAAATTGTCAGGTTGTATTTACCATTTTGAATGTTTTTTTTTCTTCTTGTTTTGTTAGTGTTGTTTGTTTGTGTAGTGTTGCATATTATTATAAACCTTGCCACAGGAATATTACACAATACACAGTTGCTTGTTTCTTTTGTATTTTTCACGGATTTCCTTCCAGACTCAAATGCTTCCTGTTACACTTTGAATAGCTGCATTGGAGTGTCCGGTTTCAGATTTATGATTAACCTTTTAAACTCTCATTTGAAAAGTTTTTATTAGCAACGTTTTACATTGCTATAACTTTCTCCGTCCTACCTTTATGTTTCTTATTAGCCTGTATTTTGAAAGCATGTGCGTATGCTCAAGCACGAACACACACATGTGTACTCGGTCGTGCGAGCGTGTGCGTGCGTGTGTGTCTGTGTGTGTGCCGTTACCCGTGGAAACTTGAAGCCCTGTCATAAAGCAGCTTTTGCCATTTTTCTGCTCACCCATCGTTAGCTCCTTCAACAATGGCCCTCTTGTTTTACCCTCTTTTATTTGATTATTTCTCTTCATATAGGTCTGGGTGGTGGTGCCGGAGCAAAAAGTGGCCTTCTAATATTTCCTTTTAGGAGTGGCTGGTGATTTAGGGGGTCTGCAAAGGCCTGTGGTTTTGAGGGGGTGTGGAGTGACCGAGGGGAAGGGAGCAACAGTGACACCGTAGCTCAGGAGTTACTTATCGCCATTGTCTATAAAAGGGCAACAGAAAGACACGGCAGAGACAGAGGAGTGGGGGGCTTCTACCGACTGAGCAGGGCGAAAGCGGATATACCAAGACACATGGCCCCCAGTCATGAGACCCCCTGAGGAACACCAGCGCGGGGTGTCTTCTAATGCCACTAACCAATTAAACAGAGGTCAGTGTGTGATGAAACGTTAGCAGCGGCAACAATTCATGAGTCGAAGCATTCCAGGCTACATGAGAACTCATTCCGAGAACTTAACTCCTAATCCTCATAAACGTATCGCAATATTGTCAGCTATGTATGGGGCCTTTCTCTCTCTCTCGGACTGCCAAAAGACAGGCTGTGCTGCCCTACACTTATTGATTGGTTTGGTTTGTTAGCCGTCCATTGTTATTGTGTAATCAGGCCTGAGCGGGAGAGGGCTGACAGGAATTCATATGAGGCCGCTCTGGCTTCGCTGATATATTCTCTGCTTAATATGCACAAAGGCCAACGGATCAGACTTATTTACTGGAGAAACAGATTGAATTATTAATAAGAATAAAAGGAAGCCCTGCGGTGGCTCGCTGGACTGTTCCGTGAGTGTAAAGCAGCCTTTAATTTGATGAAATACGATGGCGTCAAGGCTATTTGCCCTCCTCCGTCAAACGCCACATACTGTAGAACCGAAGCAGGTTTTTGTTTTATGGCTCATAGGGAGGAATTAAATGATTTTGAAGTGTGCTTACAGGAAAAATCCATCCAGGAATCAGGCCTTTATTCCAGCTAAACGGCAGCCGCATTGTTCCGTTCTCAGCCGTGGGTGCAGATTAGCCGGGTGGATGTGAGTGGGGCAGGGGGTATTATGGTTGGGAGGGATTGAGGGGCAAAACTCATGAACCTGGCACTCAGGGGCTGAGCCGCCCTCCCAGATCTCCTAATGAATTATTAACTCCAACTGACAAATACTGTTACGGGGCCCTGGCTCAGATCTGTTGCGTTTTCGAGTAAAATTGCTATAGACACATGTTACAGGAGGATGGAGTCTGCCCCTCTCTCTCTCTCTCTCTCTCGCGCTATCATGCCTCAGCAGTTTGACTGATGGCTGGAGACTGGAGGGAAAGGCCTGAGAGACTGAATATTTTAGAGGTAAAATAATACCACTTGAATTTACTGTGTAATACAAAAGAAGTGCTTTGTTTCGCTCGCAGTCCATTGAAGATGAAGGTGGGGGTTGTTGTGCTGGAAGCTCCAGCTCTTTGGATCCATGAATAAAAAATAGAAGCTGAATCGCTTGGCCTCTCATAAGCACGCTTTCTCCTCGTCTAGCCGTCGCATGCCCCTTCCGCATGCTCCGAACTTTGCTCTTAAATTTGATTTTCAATTAACGCTCTACAATTTTAGAGATCACTTTCTGTTTGATATAATTACAGGAAACAATTTATTGGCTGATTAAAATTGAGGCCTCGGTCTCGCTAAAGAAAATAGGGGTGCGGAGAGGTCTGGGTCTCCGGTGCCTTCCTCTGCGCTAACTATCAGACTTAGCTTGTTTGCACAGCTGCGGTATCCCGCTTGATTAACTTCCATTGACTTCCATTGTCCACTTCTGTTAGCTGCCGCAGAGCTCATTTAAGACTTTGCGGATGTGTTTGTGTTATTTTTGTATTTTTTTTTTTTTTTGGTAAGCATAACAAAATTATTAATACGGAATCTAGCACAAGACAATAGCAGCTTGAGTTGTTGTATTTTCTTAAAGCTCACTTACCGAACTGTATTAAACAATTCATATCGAGGGTGTGAGTCTTAAGTGCTCAGCCATGTGAGCAAATTGATGGCACGTCTTCAAATGAAGTAGTCATACTTTAAAGGGCCTGAGAGCAATTGGGCCTGACAGCCCGTTGCAACCCACACATCCCTCATGCGCTGAAGTGCACGGCCGCCGCATGCACGTGAACAGATTAACTCACAGTTTGGTGTTAAAATAATCTCTCCCGGTGTCAAATTAGTTTTCGTCCCACGATGAGCCACATGCTGGAAAACTTGGCAGGGCTGGGAGATGGAGTTCTGGAGGCACCTTGGGCTGCCTTCATTACCCAGACTGCCTCTCTCATCTCCCCTCAGGCTCAGTGGGCAGTGGAAGAACATTAGCTCACCTGCAGCCCATGACCTAGAACGCCCATGCCCTTTGTCCAGGCTAATGTGGCTAGCGGCAGCATTTTGGCTATCTCTGCCTAGCCTCTCATAGATCCTGGATGTTTCAGGCTCAAAACAATGAGTCTGCAACCCTGTGGTCAGCAGTCGGTCGTGTGCATGTCATTGTTCATGATGTTATGAGTGCTGGCTGTCTATTGTAAATTAGTCTCAGAGCAGGCAATTTAAAGGCCGGTAGGAAAGTTGTGTCTTGGCTGATTCTCAACTCACCATATCAGTTGCAGCCTTTTGATTAAGTATTTAAATTAAGTGCTTAATTCGATTAGCAGGTTAAGTTTTTCCTTAGCAGTAGTTGTAGAGTATTTTCATATTTTTTTATAAAATCTTTATTAATAAAATTTTTACTTTATTTTATTTACACTATAGTCCAATTTTAATTTCCTGGAGACACACTTTTGCACTGAAAAGTCGAGTTTGTGGGTGTGGATAAAAGAAACTTGGTTGAGTTTTACGCTATATGACATGATGACTTTTGTTTGAAACAAATGAATTTACCAACCCTATTTTGTGAATTGGAAATTCGCTATAAATCTTTGCAAAGTTACCTCACATCTGTCACAGCAGCCTATTCGCATTAATCCTTATGTATAATTGCAAAAGCAGAAAAGCACAATTACAACAAAACGAAGGAAAATGGCACATTTATAGACTCAATATGAACGCAATGATCAAAATCCCGTTAAGTGTCAGCGTCTCAGCGTCACCACTCTTTTTGTGGTTGGTGGCAGGGTTAGCGCTTTAATGAGAGCGTGTTATATGGTATGGTAACCCTCTTAGCGCGGTAATCAGGCGTGGGGCGGGGGGATCGGGCCTGCCTCAGGCAGCTCTCCAGCCGTAGCTCAGCACGTCCATTTACATTAAACAAAGGATTAAGAGGGACCCCAGTGCATGCCATTTCTCTCGCACCGAGCTCAGAGCCATTGATAGGATCTCCCCAGCTCTGATTCTGGTCCAATCGTGGGGTTAGATGTGGCGCAGAGGCTCAGAACAGCAGCCAAGTTCATATATATGTGATGTGAGGGCGCTCATACAGAATGAAAGCTGAGATCCAGCATTTCCTGTCTGACAATTGCAAGACTATTTATTCGGAAAAAAGTTGTTCCATTGGAAGTTTGAATGTTTTGTGACTAACCTGTCTTCTCTGCCCTTCTCTCAGCAGAATCATGTCTTCCAAGCAAGCCACCTCTCCATTCGCCTCGACCCCTGACAGAGGCGAGGATGGAGTGAATCAGGAGCACATGTCCTGGGAGAAAGAGGAGAACTCGGAGTCACTAGTCGCCCCTCAGCTGCCCCTGAACAATCTGCTCCACAACAAACCTCCCCCAGAGGAGCTCCAGCCAATCAGCAGCAGCGTGCCGCCCGAATCCGACTGGGACAGCCTGATGTCAGTCCAGCAGCGCATGGTGAGCCCCACTGCCAGTGTTTCATAGCTCATTTACGTGTGCTAACACAGGTTATGTGTGTTTTTAACTTTCTAATGAGCTGTAGATGAAAGAGTGCATTATTAAAGATAGTTGGCAGGATTCAAAGAATGAGAACTGTCTGGACGAGATGATTTGTCTAGAACTCGACAGATATTTTCCATTTGCGACACAATCTTACGACATTAACACAACATGGAGTAAACCTCCAGACGTATCCCACATCTATTCTCTCAAAACAAACACACACACACACTCTGTACCCCTGTAGAGAGTAATCCTCAACCCAAGGATACAGCTAGAACAGAGCAGGCCTCTCCAGAACGCTTTTGAATGAAGACTTAAGACTTTGCGATTTGCCAAGGACTTGGCTTTGAAGTTTAAGTCCCCCACAAGTGCCTGGAGATCCCTCACACTGTAAAAGTGCAGGAGAACAACGTATTGAATTGCATTTCACGTCAGAGCGATTTTATGAATCTATAAATAAAGGGACAATGAGAAAGCGGGACTAGGAGTGGGAATTCGAGGGAGTTGAGGGAGCCGCCCCCCTCCTCCTTGGTGGTCTCTCTAGACCGTAAGGCAGAGAGCCCAGACGGGAGACTGACAGTCACTTATTGTTCGATGCTTGTAAAAGGGAACTCTCCATAAACCCTCCCTCTGCTGCTGCTGCTGGCCCAGAGCTAGGTGACTCCGACCGGCCCCTGAGGTCTGGACTCCCCTGGCCCGGCAGCATCCAGATGCCAGACCCCACTTTAATTAGCCTAAAAATTTTACTGTCATGAGAGGCGTTTTGCCTTTTCTTTATCTAAATTGCAAGGAGTTTGCATTCCATTGGTGGGAACATCACAACATGTGACATCAAATGTATGTGAGGGACAGCAGGATGCACTATTGCACCCATAAGACAAACAAATCTGTATTTCTTTGAAATCTCAAATATTTCTTAGCAATCAGATTCAATGTAGATCAAATGGAGAATATATATTTTTTTCCCATTAAACAGGTTTTCAGACAAATAAAAAACACAATACAAATCCTCACATGTAAATGCAGAAGGCTTTAGCACTGCTCAGGTGGTGCTGATTCCTAATTAGATTACAGAGAGCTTTTGTGATTGGTGTAATTAGAAAGGCATTTCAAAGAATTGTTACCGCACCGCTGTGGTTGGATATGCGCGGGATGATCTCTCGGTTTCCTCTTGATATAATGAGGGAAAGCATATGAAAAGTTAATTGTGCTCATTTGATGTTCAAGAGCAGCTGCTTGTGTTTGATTTGCAGTGAGCAATGCATTCACGCTCGCTTGTCTTCACAGGAGCAGGACATCCTGTTGTTGAGTGAGGCTTTTTTGCTTCAGCTCTCACCTGATAAATACTTCACTATTCTTTAGATAAAAACGACTGTAAATGTAATGTGAAGTATGTGCAAACTCTTAGTATATTGAGTCATGCATTAAGATCTGGTATGTCAATATAAGTGTAGAGACATGAAATAAAATATATGTACAGAGTCTAAGTAAGAGAGAGAATTGTCTCTTGGTAATCCTAATGTTGCATGTCTGTAAGCAATACCATATTTGTGTGCCCAGCAGAAAATTTTATTGCTCAGTTATTTCTCATTCATAGATCAGGAGACTTAATGCATTTGCCAGTTATGATTAATTTAGATATCAGTTTGTTTTAGATGTTACTATGGGGGGCCATTTCTGCCTCAATTTTTTTTTTCTATTTAAATGTTTTTTTTTTTTAATGTAATTTATTTCTGTGATGGCAAAACTGAATTTTCAGCAGCCATTAACAAGTCTTGTGTCACATGATCCTTCAGAAATAATACTGAATTTTTTTAAATAGAAATCTTGTCCCTTTAATTCATCTTTGCTGAAAACATTATTCATTAATTTCTTGCTTTCTTTCTTTCTTTCTCTCTTTCTTTCTTTCTTTCTTTCTTTCTTTTTTAAGAAATTAATACTTTTATTCAGAAAGGATTGATATAAATAATCCAATATGACAGTAAAGACGTTTCCAGATATCAAATATTTTGAGGTCACCGTATGCATTTCTTCCAGGTATCTTTATGGTGAACCAGTGAAAGGTGTTGCATATGTGCTGTTTGGTATTGAAATTGATGGTGAAAAGAAGAGACTCACATCTATGAAGCAACTAAATGATGTAAGTTGTTAAACAAGAAAAAAACATTAGTTTAAGTACCTTAAATCAGCTTTATAGTGCAAGACTCTTGTTACTCCATGTTTTATTTTACAGCTGAATGGAGGACATGTTAGTTTTTTTTAATTTGGTCGTTGAAGAATTTGATCGCATGTGTTTAAGTACATATTAATGACTCTGACTTTGGCAGACTTAAAAATGAAAAATTACTTTTTTATTTTTTGCTTGCTCTCTTTACTTTTGTTGTCTTGTACAAAACAATTGAGATATTCCAACAATCTCATCTGTAAATTTGGCTTCATGCTTGTGTTAGCAGAACCTTCAGTCTAGGCCAGCTGATTTGTGGGATTTCATTCCGTGTGTCGCTGCCACATAATCACACTGCCCTAATGCCCGTCTGTGCCCTGCTCTCCAAAACATACACCTGCCAGTTTTTCTCTCATTGATGGAGCAATCCTACGCCAACCACTTCTCTGTCAGGACTCCCACTCCACTCGCTAATGTGCTTTTGCACTTTATTTTTACAATCACTCAGTAGTGTGTAGACTTACTGAGCCCTGTGTAGGATCAGACAAACAGATCGCTTCTCCCTTTCGTTCTGTTTTCCCTCTCTGTGCAGTCGCTCGGGGAACACTGAACTATCAGCTGCAGACAGAAGCCCAGTTAACCACTAAACCACACACAGGTGGGACCGCAAAACAACAGCAGCTTGAGACAGGGGCCAGATTTACGATGGCCTGGAGGGTTCCGCGAAGAACAGCCACCCGCTTGCTAACCAACAAATTACACTGCGCTCGAGCTCGGCTCAAACACGCACTCGTAACCTTTGCAAAGGAATTACAGCGATGACAATTGTAAAGAGAAAAGAGTTGTTAAACACCATTTATCTGCTCTGTAATCATTTAACTTGTATCCTAAACTCACTTTCTCTAATATAAATGGTACGTCTTTAGCACTTTCCAAATTTTTAAACAGTTTTAACATTTTAAATGTGATTAAATTGCTCTCTTTTTCATACTCTGACAGTTTAATTTCTCTTTTGACATGAAGTAAAAAGTAAACAACGAAACCCTCAATCTTCTCAAACTCCTTTGTGTTCTCCTGCAGGAATCGGACAGCAATAAAGTATGTTCCTTATACTCCTTCCGGAATAACTCTACCTCTCCACACAAGCCAGAGGAGGGGGCCAGGGAGCGCGGCGACCTGCTAAGCAGTTCAGCCTTCGGAACGCCAGAGCGCCGCAAAGGAAGCCTGGCCGATGTGGTGGACACACTGAAACAGAAGAAACTAGAGGAGATGACAAAGACAGAGCAAGACGGTATGGAAGGTTTCAGCATGTTTGTGTGTGTCCAGATTTAGGAATTTACGTGTATGTGAGCAAATGTTCTTTTCCTCTTAGCGAGAAGCGTTTTTTGGCGTCCATCGATCTCCTCAGTCACTCTGTTTTTCTCGTTCGCCTTCTCTACTTCTGTATAACTCTGTATTCTTTCTCCTTCGACATCATCCATCTCTTTTCTCCCACCGTACACACGCACACATGCAGTCTTTTAACCTGGGAGGACTGACGTGGCTATGTTTTCCAGTTTGTTCTGAACCGAGTCCAGTGTGACAAAGAGTGGGTGGCACTACCCCTCAGCTTAAGTGTGGTCTCCAGACGATGCCAAACCAAACTCTCAGACCATAAAACACACGCCACGACCTGATGCCAGGAACATTACCTTTTTATTCTTCAGTACAGACGACAGCATTCATGCCGCAAAATTCATCTACAGACCAACTCAAATAGCTCCAAGAAGGCTTTTTTCTTCCATGTGTTTAGGGCCCAGAAGTATCCAAGGATTTGGCAATTCAATTTGAATGATTTAAAATGATATATAATACATATGTATAGTGTAAGAATATTGTTATATAAAGGATTTATGCATTTGGGCACATTTAAGTTGTAGTTTCTCAGCAAGTAAAAGTAAAAATCCAGTCATGTGGCTGAAAGGAGTATCTAGTTAATTGATAAAATTTCTAGGGCTGTCGCGATTCGTTGATTTTATTCGACTATTCAATTTTTTTAAATCCTCGACTTCATTTTGCTCGCGTCGACTAACCGGCAAAATACCGGAAGTGGCTCATTTCACAGACGAGAATGTATAAAACACATTATTAGTCTGTTTCCCAAGGCTGCATGATATATTAAACCCATTTAAAAATCATAATTAAGCATAATTGTGTATTCACAAACACTATGATTTAATGAAAGAATTATATGCGATGCAGTTCTAATACAGTATATGCGCTTTAATTATTTACATGCGTGTAGGTTAAGTACGTGCGTCACACAGCGGCTCCG